TAGCATCCTATGACCCCTTTAAGGTACACATGTGATCAGTCAATGCACTCCCTGGGAATCATGAGATCTACCGCAGTCTGTAGTCATGCATTTATTGTTTTTGCTTATGCAGCACAAAGTGTGTGTGAAGCATGATGCCGCAGCTCGTACCCAAGCAGTGCACGTGCTCCAGAACCTCACAGCTGGCGTTATAGCGTCTGCGCGGACACGACACCGTCATGCAGCCGGTGGAGTTCGAGCAGCGGTACTGAGACGGATCCAGCTGCCAACAGAAGCGGCAGTCCAGCGTCAGCGAGAAGTTCTGCTCCGGCTGACTCCGCTCGTTCTGAAACACACACACAAACAGGGATGCAACGAATGCATCAAGCATCTGAGCTCTTATTAGCAAACAACCAACAGATCACTTATGAAATCAAATGCTTTAAAGGTGACATATCATGAAAAACGGTGTACTAGCTCTAATGCCATGGAGAAAGTTTGAGCAGAACATGCTAACTGTTCTGTGTTTGGCTGCAGAGACGAGCACAGAACACTGTTTAGAGTCCCAGCCTCAGAGGAGACGACAGAGCAGTGCATTTATTGATGTATTTACTGTATATTGCTGCTGCCACACAGATCTAAAATAAACATGTGATTTATTTCCCAGCTGTTTACCTTCACAGACATAACCCACTGTTTTTGTAACTCGTGTGTTTTTAACGTGAACTTGTGTGTGAATGAGAGCTTAGTTTAGTGCTCACATGCTGTGACAGCCGCTTTCTGTGCGTGTGCTTCAGATGTGTGCGCTCAGAAAACCTTATATCTGAAGTTTAAACTCATATGGTTTAAAACGCATGATTTCAGCACGATAAACATGATCATCAGAACCAAAACAGATGATCTTAGCAGGTCCGAGCTGTAATGCCGCAGCTCTATTCTGGAAAAGGGGGCGGGGAGCAGCAGCTCATTTGCATTTAAAGAGACAGGCACAAAAAACAGCGTGTTTCTGCTTCCACTCAAAATAGGCATTTTCAGAATGATATAATAAATGATCTGTGGAGTATTTTGAGCTGAAACTTCACAGACACATTCTGGGGACACCAGAGACTTATATTACATATTGTAAAAAGGGGCATAATATGTCTCCTTTAAAACGTGGTGATCCGGTTGATTTCAAAAGTGCACAGATATGCGTGTATAAAGCACATAATCTACTTTAGAGGCTGTTAGAAATTAAAGAGTCTATGAAATAGGCAAACAAACATCGTTTAAGGGCAAATATAAATAATAGATGTATATCCATCAAAGGAATGAAATCGTGGAATGGAATTGAGAATGTGTAGTTCACAAATGTTTAAAATTGAGGTGATAAATATATAACTCAAAATTAATCATTTGTATATTGAATACTTGATATAGTTCAGGGTTATTATAGTTAGCTAAAACCCTAAACAAACAAAAAAAATGAATTATTTGAAATAAAATAAATGTTAACTCGAATAAAATATATATTTCAGTTAGCTGCAACATTTCTCATTTTCATTTAGTTTATCTTGATCTTAAAATAACTAAACCTAAAACTGAAATAGACAAATAAAAACTACATATACGTACATACTTAAAGACAAAAAATAAATAATAAAAATTACAAAAACACAATAAAATTAATAATTTGTATATTGAATATTTAATGTAATTTAAGGTTATTATTGTTAACTAAAACTAAAACCATAAAATATTTTCATTACTTGACTTGATAAAAATATCAAAATATGAAACTTATTTTATTTAAGCTAGCTGAGGCAGCATTTCTCATTTATATTTAGTTTACCTTCATCTACTAAAATAACTCAAATTAAACTGAAATAAAACTCAATATATACTACTACTAATAAAAATGACAAAATTACTAAAACTTTAACTAAAATGAGCATAAACGCAGAAAATATGAAACAAAATGTAATTAACAAAAACTGTAACTGTATCAGTGATACTAAAATAACACTGAAAATGTATTTATTTATGAAAGCTGCATAAAGCTCTTTTGTCTGAAGTAATTGTTTAGTCTTTGTATCTTTTGTATAGAGACTAATTTAGTTGTGGAAGTGACACTTATTATAAAAAAAGGGTAGACATAATTAGCTAACTCATAATTTAAAATTATTTTCTTTTCCCGACTCAAATCTCCAAACCTCTCAGACCATATTGAACATAAATGGTTCAGACAGCATTATTTTCAGCTTTATATCTGGATTAGAGTAGTCATCTGTGAATATTTTGATTTTCTCAGAGGTTTTTCCACTGATTTTCTTGCATACATACAGACTTTTGCACGCACCCAAGAAAGGTTTTCGTGCCCTCGAGAAACTATTCACATGCACACGGGAATATTTTGCATGCTTACGTGTTACATTTTCTAGTTTTATATTCTATAACACATTTCCTTTGTGCGTCACTGCCATCTGAAGAAAACGAGAGCACGGATGCACATGAATTAACAGAGATATATTTGCTCAAAATGTGGCTTTCCTCAGGCTAGTACCTCTAATATCAGCAGAGAAACCATGACATGAAGTGGGCTGTGTGCATCGTCCTATTTGCCAAGTTCAATGGTCTATAAAAAGTGTTCAAAATTTGGCTTTCGTATCATATTTCAAAGCCTTAGTTCTGCTTTAACACACTCTGTGAAAGCCAAAAAAACACGCTGTGAAATGGGCTGATGGTGCAACTGATGGATCAGTGAGCATGTCCTATATGCTAAGTTTAATGGTTTCTCATGCACAAGAAAGTCTGCATATTTTTTAGTTTTGCAAAAATCCTTTTAAGAATATTGTGTGCAATATAACCTGAATTTTTGCATAATGAAAAAATGCACCTTGAATTCATTCAGTGTTTGACAATCACTAAACAGCTGCCATGAAAACACACTTCTTCTATGATACATTTATTTTCATAAAATGTATAATTTTCTAATATAGAAAGCTAGATAGGGGCAAAAGTCTGGAAGTGCAAATATTTTTCCATACCGAGCCCACATCAGAGCACTCTCTCACCACACACTGAACGCCTGCTTTGGCTCTGCAGGTGACGCTGGTCTGCCGGCCGTAGCTGCAGTTGTGATGAAATGCGCAGATGATGCAGTCGGCCGGGAGTCTGGAGCACAGACCGCCGCTGGGACACTTGGACAGGTCGTTATCAGTCACCGCTGGAGAAGCTGAACACACACACACACACACACACACACACACACACAGAGAGACACACACACAGAGAGAGACACACAAACAAACACACACACACAAACAAACAAACAAACACACACACACACACACACACGCACACACACACAAACACACACAAA